ACATGTTAATTTGAATCAGATGTACTGATAATATCCGCAATATAAATCTTTAAACTTCTTCTTACCTTTAAAAGTCCGTCACGAACGGTTATTATGCTGCAACTCTACCGCTCTGCTAGCCTTGGCGCTAACTTCCGTGGAACGAATGAGAGGCTCCACGATCCGCCATTGCTGTAAAAAAGTGGTCCATTGGAGTGAACGGAGATGTCATAACTCTTCTATTATACGGCTCTGCTGCTACCATAGCATCTTAACGTGTCAGTCACGTTCTTGCGAAACACATGAAGTCTTTCAAAGACGGCGGAGTTGTGAAATAAGCATTCCTGGAGGCTGCTGACGCACTTTTGGGGGACAGTAAAAATAACAGTAGAATTTCAAAAGGTTTTTGATATAATAAAACTCAAGTTACATATCGTTATTAATCAGCTGTAAGTTTTAGTTTGTTTGAACTTATTCATTATAATTATTGTACAAAATGGTATAAGAATGCAAACATTAAGATCTGTTCTGTTTTAATTGATTATAGTCTATTATCAATTCGGGTTAAGAAACTAGTGTTGCTTGCATCCTATTTTAAAAAAGGCATTTATTTTTATAATCTACTAAAATGCAACAAAAAAAAAGGGTTTGATTCTAATTTATACTTTTGTAGCAACGCTATTTTTATATAATGGCAAAGAAAGGGTTCAGAGTCTTTTCTTTTTTCCCTGTGTCATATGTGGCAGCACTGTTCAATGCTTCTTGAAAACATGACCCACTGTAGTATGTGACGTGTGGATAAACTCCAACTCTGTATCAACAACACTGTTGTGTAACTTCAGTTAAATACTTGTATGTGTGTAGATTAGAAAGAGGTAAGATAAAGGATCTGCAGTATTTTATGAAGTATTAATCGTACGAAGGTCAGTTTTATACAAGTAGAAGTGTGTATTGACCTGGTAGTAGGCTGTCAGTAATGGCTACGCCTCTCTATTTGGACTGGTAGATCTCGGCAGACTGGCGACTTTAAAAGTAGCTCTCGGTTCAAAAAAGGTTGGGCACCCCTGCACTAGATAGACATTTGTTAAGAACATTTCTGAAGATTGAATAAATAGATCTATTAGACATTTTAATATAGAGTAGGTGTTAATAAACTGCAGTAGTAGTACTATGAGGAAGTGACATTTTTGGCTAACACATTTCAGGGAATGTGGGAAACAGCTGTCCCAATGAAAAGTTAGAGATATCTGGAAAATTATAGTTGTAATCTTGAATTAATAAATGATGGCACTCCATATATGACAGATTTTTGTAGACAAAGGATACTGGCCTAAGCTGAAATATCAAAGTCTCTGCAGAGCACGACACATGGCCAAAAAGAATGAGACCAAATTACCTTTGACCCTGACCGACAGTGTTACTTGAGAAAGGCACTGTCGATGACTGACTCTGGGGTGAATCTGACCAAACTTGACTTTACAACCTGACAGTGTGAGTGTGAATGTATGTCTGCATGTGATCAGTGTAACTGCATGATTTAAAACAATGACTAATCAAGCATGTTTTTGGACTAACACATTATTCTGGGGCTCTGTGGGAAATGAGAGGTTTCCTACAATTCCACAAAATTGGAAAACCGCACTTGTGACCCGTTTCTAATCTACTTGATGATATTTCACTCCCACAGGCAGTGGCGGTTTGCAAAATGTGAAGCTCAAACTAAAATCTGAAGATTCTGTTTCTTTTAGGACTGAAAGATGGAGATAAACACTTCATTTCACTGGAGTGTTTACTATGGAAAATAATGGATGTACATTTGTGAATAATGTTTGATATTTTCTTATCAATTATTACCTGAAGGTTTTCTTCCCATACAGGATTTTGTTACACATGAGTTCATGTGTAAAAAGGGGGAGTGGTGTGTATAATGTATTATATCAACATGGCAGTAAAATTCACAATCTACACTTTTCATTTAGGGACTGAAAGAAACCTGCCGCCCCAACTCGGATGTTCAATCTGACCATTGATTGACAGTTTTAGAATTAACCTGCTCCATGTCGATAAGATACTGTTTGATGAATGTTGACATGTTTCTAATATTGATTGAATTATAACAGGGATATAACGAAGATGCAGACTCAGTGATAAAGTTCTTAGTCACGCATTATATTCCACTACATGAGTTCCCTAGAAAGGGGTTGGTATCAAACTTCTCCACACAGGTTGCTGACGCCAAAGGGGGACTCGAGAAGCACGAGGCCAACACTGCAGAGTTTGTCTGGTTGAAGGTCATCAGGCTCAAGTGGCTCAACCCTAGGTTCTCCGGCCCCGACCGAGTGACCCAGAGGACCTCCCATGCCGTCCGCAGAGGAAAGGGGGACAACTGGTACCACTGGAGCCAGTGTGCAGTCGGGGAAACCTCCTGCTAGGACCTTGGACGACATCAGGACGGACCTGGCTCTTGTCGAGGAGGTCGACCCGGAAGCTGCCATCAGCGGACCGGAGGAGAAGGACCCGAGGACATCCATCCAGCAGATGGCCCAGAAGCCGCCGTCAGCGGGCTGGGGGACAAAGACACGGGACATCACGAGGAAGCAGAGGAGTCTGCTTCTCTCTGATCAGATTCATCAGTTCCACCATTGAAGGAAAAGATGCCCCTCCCCCTCCGTACCAAATGCCCTTGTTGGCTAATGCAGAGGGAGAGGACGAGTATGATGACTCAGCAGACAAGGATGCAGTTTTTTAACATACTTTGGTCTCTCTCCACTGTCATAAGAAGTTGTTATGATGGGCTGTTCCAAAATGTTTAAAGTGCTCTAAATCCTAGCTTCTGATGGATTTATATAATGTTGGGGGACGGACACAGTAGAAAAGAATGACAGTGGTTATGTTTTGAATGCCTTGTGTAAGTTGATCTTTTGAGGTGAGATCAAAAGGGGGATTGAAGTAACCTGTGTTCCTAGTGTCCAGATGTGAGTTTGCTTAAATATATGTGTGTACTTAATTACTTTGTATTAAATAGTAGCAGTCTGTATAACAAGAAGCTGGAAATATGAGAAGTGAAACATTTGTATTAAGAGTAGTGGAGATGTGAGAGATGAGATATCCTTATTTGGACACCGCGTGGCAAACATCTGGAAGGCAGCAGAGTAAAATGTGTGTGCGTTCTATCAAAGAGTCCTATATATATGTTTTCTGCAAAGTTTTACTATTTCTCGCATTGCTGTAGGACTGCTTAAGAGCAGAGGTAATGTTTTCTTCGTTATTATTGATATTAAAGTAACTTACATGTATTACTTGTATTAGCCAACTATAAACAACTATATCTTAGACATATCTTAAAAATGCCAAGGGTGTGTGGAGCTGTGTGTATTGAACTGATGGGGGAGGGGGCCGGAGAGAAGGAAGTCTATGCAAAATACCTCAAACTTAAGAGACTCTTGTTTCAGGGTCGCCTCGGCTGGCTCGCGCTGATTCGTTGCGACAGGCCATCGTTTTTGTATCTCCCAATGGATGACCCCTATGGGAGGAGCATCCGCACAACTCCTCCCTTTCTAACTACATGTAGCCCTGTTGTGTTCTTGGTCCGGTCTCTTTTTCCTCCTGCTGCCAAGATAGTAAGATCTCCCAGCACTAGGAACCGAGCAGGAGTACTCCTTATTTTGTATTGTTGTTCTTTTACCATTAAAACAGATGATTGTTTATCTTTTATCCTGGTGTTTCAAATTCCTTCTTTTATAATTTGACCAGCTCATCAAGGGACGCGCGGAGCCGATGTGGGCTTCAGACCACCGTCCTCATTGCTCCAACACTGGACATGCGGCCGCATGTCCCGAAGAAACAGTTCCATGAAAAAGAAGTCGGGTTCTTCCGTACCTAGCAGGTCGTGCATCATCTCCATGTGGTCGGAAGGCTTGCTGTCCCCCAGTGCCGAAACTATGTGGAAATAGCGTGTGTCGTCATCGGTCATTCCGCGGAGGGCGAAACGAGGCTCAGTTGGTGCGAACAAAGCAGCCGCAGACGTCTCCCAAAAACTCCGGCAGTTCGAGAAAAACTGCGTTTTTTGCCATGTTCGGTTCAGTCTCGGATACTTCTGCAAGACTTATGTCAGGGTCACCAATGTAGTGCCGAGAGACGGGAGTCAGAGGCGGTGCATCGAAGGTACAAAGTTAGCTTTAATGAGCATCAGAAACACACATGTTGTCGGCTTGAAGCCCGGGAAGAGAAGGGAAGAAGAAAAGGAGGGCACACAGTACATAGTCAACATATGTCTCCGTGCGGAACAATACCCCCAACCCGTAGTTCCATGAGTGAATTATGTCAATCAGTGATCACTAGTACATACCTTTAGTTACTTTACAGATAGCCTATGGATTAATAATGTGAAATATAAAAAACAAGTCCATAGGGACTTGGCTTGGCAACTGGAAGGTCACCAGTTCAAGTTCCGGCAAGACCAAGTGCTACCGAGGTGTCCCTGAGCAAGGCACCGTTCCCGACACTGCTCCCCGGTCGCCGTTCATAATGGCAGCCCACCACTCCTAACACTAGGATGGGCAGAGAAACCATTTCGTTACATACTACCTGTACTATGTAATGACAATAAAAGTGCAAACAAAATAGATGTAGTGTTGTAATCTTTATAGTTAAACAGCACAGAACAGATTTGATTAAAAACTTTATTAGATTTTGTGTTTCTATAATAAATACATTAAGAGCTCATGGACAGATGAAAGGTTGAAAATGGAGACATAATTTAAGGGTGAGCAAGAGCATTAAAGATGTAGGCTACAGCGTGCAGAGAGCAGCGGTGGAGCATGACTTGGTGAGTCTGTACGCTCTGCAGGGTCTGATCGAGTACAGGGGCTCCAGTCCACTCCAAACTCCTCTCTGGATGTTCCACTAATCCAGGACATCTCATACTTTTGTATTGCTCACAGAACTGTCACAGTAACTCAAAGGTGCAGTCAGTGTGACAAACTGTCACTTTTGTGATTTGCATAGAGTTGCTTGTCATCATTTGCCCTCACTGACACAATCACTGCCCAAAAACGTTCTCAATTCATTCACATATTGAAGTCTAACAGGACAACAACTGACAGAGATTAGCCAGTCAAAGAAAACCCACTTTTCAACAGTTAAAAAAAATGATTGCCATAAAATAATTTGCTAAACATTGTATTCATTTTTTAAAGCAACAGCCGGAGGTTAAGACCTGATATCTTGAAAACCCAATTCATACAGTTATTCGCCAAGGTGGATTTTCTCTCTTGAGTCTAACATTGTAAAGGAATATGATACATGTATATATTACACGTTGCACCTTCTACCTGTAATGACCTTGTTGTTGTTTTTTTAAAGATCCCAATAATTGGGACAATGAAGTGACCTCAGCTTTTTCTGCAATTTTGCCTTTCCATCAGTGTCATCAAATAGGCCCAAAATTGATAATTATTTCTAAATAATAATTCAACATTTTATAGCAAATAGTCCACTGGTTTATAACTTAATTAATGGGATATTTTTTGAAATGATACAGCTAGCCTTGCCCTGTCAAACACTTTTGAAAAATGAAATCTAACTTCCAACACCTCTTAAGATTAAACAAATGAGATATGTCATGCTTAGTGAGATTTAAAGGTGTTTGTAGGCGGATTGTTTCCTTTGTAAAGAGCCAGGCTAGCTGTTTCCCCATTTCCAGTATTTATGCTAAGCTAAGCAGATATTAGCTGTAGCTTTGTACTCACCATGTCACATGTATGATCTCATCATTGGATAATCATTTACAAAAAAAATGTCACACACATCCATTTAACAATATTGCTTCAAGCCAGTGACTAAAGGCTGTAGTCTCTTTAATGTGGAGGCACATTATTGTCAACATAAAAATTAGCTTCAGACACCACCAGAAACTCATAGTGCACAGTACGCTGAGCTAGCACCTGCTGAAACTGGGGAGGCACAATCATATCTGACCCAGAGCTCACACACATATTTGTCCCACTCTCCAGAGGTAATTATTTTAAAGCCAGACATTCAGTGTCTTAAATGTGCAACAGTAAATGTAGATGAAATTGTATTCACCTTTAGTATGTGATGCAGATACATTCATCTCCTAACATGATGCTCAGTAGGAATCATCCCCGTTTGGCATGTTTTATTTCCTGATTGAACTACAGCCCCCATACCGTGCCAGATTTCTGAGACCTCATCCCATGATCATTTAGAGTATGAATGTATGGGTTATTTACTGTATGCATGGTCAGCACAACCATGTTAATTATTTTTCACTGCAGTGCAGTTGCTAAAGATGATTTATTGCAAAAAGTAGTGGCTGGCTGAACGGATGTTTATGCACCTGCTTCAAATCTTATTAGCCCAATAAATGCCTTGTACCAGTTGTCATCAAAGCAATGATCTGAGGTGGTATGGTTCTAATTTACCTCATAGTTGGCTCAGTAGACCTTTTTTATCTATTGGTGAGTTGGACCAACGCTGGGACATTCAAAAATCGTTAGGTTGCAACACGTAGTAGCCATAGTAATAATGACAGGAGCCAATGTGTAGGACTAAACATTTTTTTAAAGCAACAATGTCTGCAACTGTAATCAAGGGCTTACTATTTGTGTCCTCTGTTGAATCAAATCTTGATCTATATTTAATAATAAAGGAAAGTGAACATACTTTTTTGTCCTTAACAGCGGTAACACACTTTACTTACGTATAACTTAACTTATGTGACTAATGTACGTATTTGAACTCAAACCATTATCTTCTAAACCTAACAAAGTGTTTTTGTTACATTTTACATAATTAGTAACAATTACATAACATGTTTAAAATCACGACCATTTCACAGCATTACAATAAAATGGCAGTGATAACAACTGATAAACGGCCATTTAATGGGTTGATAACATTTGAAATGGGTGTTCATTTACTGAATGCATGGGCAGGATCATCTTTTCACTACTGTGAATTTATTGCAAAACACAGACTGATTTGTCTCTGTTTAAGAAGAAACAAGTCATGTTTTACAAGGTGACCTGTACTAATATATGTTGAGTTTGATCAAGGCATACAGTGTCCAGGGCGACGTCACCAAAAAGTGCTTAGCCTTAGCAAGGATTAGCACAATGAAATTAGCATGGCATACAATGGGATTTACAGTTAACCTCAGAGCTGACTCTATCAGTCTTAGTACATCGGAGCATGTTTCCTCTCCAAAAAGGAAGTGTTTTTGTTTTCAAGCATTGTATCTAAAATCTGGCTTGTGTTGCACATGCTTAAAATGCATTGGTTATTTGTCTTAAAAGCAGCATCATCAGAGGGTCATTCATTTTCTAGGGGTGGGGTTGTTTTTAAGGGATTGTCTATCATGTCAGTTCAGAAGCTTATTGTATTATTACTTTTTTGCTGAGCTTTAAACTGTTTTGCAATATGTAGTTGTCCCCGCTGGCAGAGGAGCATAGAAGCACTAACAGGCACCTGTGTTTTATATCAAGCAGAAAGGTACAGGATGAAGAGCTGGGCTGAGTCCTATAATATTCTGTCACAAAGAACACTTTGTTTTGTTAGTTGTTTGAATAAATCAGACATCATATCACATCATATCATTTGATGTTGACTCAGATGTCCATCTCATCAAAGGGATACTTTGAATTTGGTGTTTGTTAAAGAGGGATTCAGCCCAGCTATAACTACATTGCATTTTATCCTGTCTCAAGCGCTTAAACAACAAAATATATTGTTTTGACTTTGGATGAAAACAGTCAAAGTTTAAATGTGTATGTACTCTGGCTGTGGCCACATATTTTGATATGTGCAAAATGATATACAACTGCAGGTATTTTTACTTGAATAAACCTACACACACACAATTAAATACCATTCACACAAACATTCCCATAATCTAATAAAATGTGTGCGTACTTTGGTTTTGATGTAATCAATTCAATAAGAAACCACCAACCAGAGACACGTAGCTTAATGCTCATTAACAAGCATGCTTTTAGGTGCGGAGGTATCAGATGATGACCACTGGGAATCTTTAAAAAGACCAAAAATCCAGAAATAAATCAACAAATCAAATACAATGTTGATGTGTTTATATTTTACAGAGCCTGCCGAACAGTGGGGAATCGATCAGTTGAAGAATTTCCAGACTATTCTTTTTTTAATAGTTAAGTTGTTAACTAACCAGAGGCAACTTGGTAACAGTGTTTTTCCTAGTTGCTTTTTGGACCTGATATACAGGCTCTGTGCGCCACCAGGTCACATTTCATTAAGTAAAAGTGCACATTAACTTTAATTGGGACATTTCATAAGATACAGCAAACCACACACAAAAGAAAAACAAAGACACCTTTCAGTTGTTTTTTCTGGTAATGTGTTGGCAAAGGGTCTTTGGGATTCCAGGTGGAAGGTGGGCAGTACATATGAATCCTATATACAGTATATAGAGGATAAGTGTTTATGGTAGGTGACATTATCCTTTAAATATTGTTTTCTTTAAAGTTATGAGCACATTTTAAATAATTATGTGTGCATTGACTTGCACAAGCTATAGTTGTATATCATCTGCACAGCTACCTTTCTGTGCACATGCAGTAGCATTGTGTGCACATGTATGTATTCACCTTTGAAGGCCACAGCCAGGCAGTTTTTAAGAACCTACCTAAACATAATGAATTTGCTTGTGTGCAAACACGTGTGCAAATACAAATATATGCAACAGTACATCATTATAAGTACTTATATGCTGTTATATACGTGCACTTTCTCATTTCCTTTTTGGTGTTGGTTTTGAATCAGCTTTGGATCCTGAGAGGCCATTTTCTGTGTTGTCGATCCCTGATGAAGTTACAAGGCACTCCTTACTGCAGTGGCGTTAGGGAGAAAAAGAAGACAAAGTTAGAACTGTACATGCACGGCAGGTCTTCTTCAGCATTTACAGTATCTGAGCTACTCGAAATTGCCTGCCGAACTCTAAAAGTGGGCTCTGATCAAACAGTCTGAAAAAGTGACATAGCTGGTAAACGCGCAGGTGGTGGTGATAACTCACTTTTTCTCCTCAAGCTTGGCAAGAACAAAAAGAGTGAAGTTCTTGAGCAACATGAAGGCCATTAGCCCTGCGATTCCTCCGCCCACAGCAGAGGCTATGATGATGGTCAGTGTGTTGTCCACCACCCTCACTGCAGACATGGACAGAACACCAGAGGAATGATGATTGGGGGAACAAATGTATATATAATCCGTTTAATGAGAGGTTCCAAAAAATAAACATTTTCTCCAACTTTTAACATAAGGGATATAAGCTCTTTTGAATTTTGTTTTTGATTGGAGGTCGTAACCAAATAATTAATTTCAACTATATTCAAAAATTTGTTATAGAAATACACAAGTTAGATGTACACTCTTTATCTGATCATTTTCGGTAATTTTCATTATTTTACTCAGCAGTACATGCCTTATATGCCTTATATATATATATATGTGGCCTGATTTATCTAATTAGCATACAAATTAATGCATGTTCTAGTTTATTTGCACTTCAGCATGCACCTTATGGGGCTATCAAGCTAGCCCCAATGAGTTGTCCTACATTGTGATTGGCCAATATACAGTATGTCAGGGCACATAGTTAAACTAATCAAATCTAAGGGGATGTGTTGTCAGATTGGCACATTTTCCACTTAATTAGGTCCACTTTTGTGGCTGAAAGGGACAAATATTTGTTCAAGGTGAGATTATGTTGGACTGGTTTAAGATCGTTTGGGCAGTTACTAAATGTAAATACAAATTAATAAGAATACAATTTCACCTTAGAACCCATTCATATGATGAAAGGAAAACAAACCATATCCCTCCTTCACATATATGACCCACATTACCAGCTTAGACCACTCACACTCGTCCACCACGATGAGGGTGAAGATGGTGCTGTGGTTCCGGCCCTTTTCTTTGGGGTTGCGTCCAAAACAAGTCCACTCGCCTGCGTCCTCGAAGGTGATGTTCCACAGCAAGATGGAGACGTTGCGGTCAATGTTCTTCCCAATAAACTCCACCCGCTCTCGATATATACTCACTTCTGGCTTCGACTCCTCTGACACTATAAAGGAATCGCACACCTGACGGAAGCAACAAGCAGTCAATCATCTAAAAACTTCCAAACAGTTAGTTACCTGAACATTTCTCTCAACTGGAGGGATCTTACCTTCTGCATGGTGCCATTTTCATTAAACGCCCAGCTGAAGTAGAGGTCTTTAATGCCGATACAGCTCAAGTACGTGCAAGGCAACAAGACTGTGCTGCCATTCACCGCCTGCAGGAAGGGAATCTTCCCCACAGACATTTCCAGGCCCTGGACATACCACGCGCCTGAGGATGAACGGGAATAGAATTACATTTTACAGTGCAGCAGTGTCAGTCTACTTTAAAGCAAGCTTTCAACATTTTGAGAAATGGGTATCATGTGCTTCTTTATGCAATTTTACAGGGGGTCCTAGACTGTTTTAAAGCTTTGAACAAAGATGTTCCGGTGTGTTCGTGCATGTTTGAGAAGTCTTGTCATTATCGTGAGAAAGTACTTCCTGAAGTAACTTTTCCTGGGGTAAAGAGAAAGTCTTCTGTGCGGTTGAAGAGTAAAAATTATATTATAATATAATTGTTTTCCTAACCGGAAAGGACTAAGAAAAGAAAACTACAGCGCTAAGAGAATTGGACTGCACCTATAGGCTACCTAACTATGTGAATGTGGATCTTATTGTGGGTCTACTATCACTATAAATGAAGTGTGGGATAGCATTTCCTTCTTTCTTTTCATTAAGGATGGTCTATATAGGGTAACTTATGCTTAAGGTGATGAGAAAGAAGGCATTTAAGCACTTTTCTTTAGCAATTAGAGAATTTGAACAGCTCTTATTGTGGCTGTCACTCAGATACTTTCTTTAGTTTTTGTGCTAAGCTAAATTAATAATTTGCTTGCTGTAGCAAGATGTTCACAGATTTGAGATTACTCAAAATAAACAATTAATTGAGAAACAATCAACAGATTACTGTGATGTGGCTGTGAGAAAGTGTGGTGGACTTTCTATCAGTAGGTTGTAGATTTGAATCCAGCCTCTGTAGTCAATATGTCATATCCTGATGGCCAACAGTGTGAGCAAGTGGCACATTGCTCAGTATGAATGGGGTATGAATGGGTGAATGATCACTTCTGAGTGTAGAAGCGCTTTGGGAGTCGTAAAGACTGGATAAAGTGCTACACAAATACAGTTCATTTACCATTACATTGCATTTCATTTAGCTGACAATTTATCAAATCCGACTAACAAAAGGTAATTAACCATCAGAATACAATTTCAGAACAGCAAGAAATCCTGAACATACATTATCTTTAATAGGCTAAAGCAGATTCATTGAACATTTAAATAGTCATTACTTCCGGCTACTGCTCTTTAAACAAATCACCCACATTTAGGCTATTCTATATGATCTTCTTTTAGCTAACGTTAGAACAAATTCACATTTTCCTGCTTCCCACTTTGAACGTTTCTGTTGGAAACCAGTTTAATCTTATTTTAGGTAAACATATACTAAGGCACTAGGCTAGTCAAACCCACAGTGACATGACACCAAAAACCTGTGACATTTATGTAAATAAGAGAAGAGAAACTCTGCTGTGCCCAGAGTAAGAACTGTTACTGTACACCAGGGACCACAGACAGGAAGTCCCTGTAATTACATTTGACTTCCACCATTCAAAAGAGAAAACTGCCATGTCTTTTTTATTAGATGTTTTTGCCTTATTCCTTATTTGTTCTCGACTTAGCAGGTATTTCACCTTCTCATTTAGCCACCTAGTTTTGTGTCAAGATCACACATAACAAATAGGTTCACTTTAGCATTTAACCAGCTGTTACAATTCTCTGAATGCTCACACCACTAAGGCTCCTAGTGCTTAATGCTTCCATCTAGTGTGTGACTTGTAAACTGCATGCCCAAAAGATGCTGTGCAGAACTAGTGCACATGTGCAGAGGTAATACAAAAAAACCTGACACCAGGATAAGATAAATGGTTTTAGGAGCAGCTGTATTTTCGGTGCTGTTTCTAACATTCCCAGGATTGTGCCCTCTGTTTTGGGCACAGTGTGTTACGCCTGGCTCATAACACGGTCAAGGTCAACGTCTGACAAGCACCACTGCAGCAAAGAGGAGTAACGTAACAGCAGATACGGCTCCATCCATGCGGAGCTGTGGCGTACTGTATGTGGGAACGATATTGATTCATTCTCATCTCTCACCCCGGCTATCTCACAAACCTCACTCTCTCCAACCCTTTTCCTCAGCTGGTCCAATGCAGCACAGTGAGCTTGCAATTTTTTTTTAATAGAAACAACCCCTCCCGTCTAGATCCTTGAGCAAATGTTTAGTATCACGCTGGCTTTTTGATCAGCCAAGATGTGCATTCTGCATTCTTTACAACTTGTGTTCCTTTGTGTGTACTTAAATATTTATTTTCAATGAAGATACAATATAATGATGCTACCATTACTCTAGGTACTGAAGCTGTTGATAAGAGACCAAGAACAAAACAAGTCTAATTTCTTGATAAATTATCTGTTCTCCTTTCAATGAGCCTGAATTTATTTTGTATTGTGTCTAAACATTAAAACATTACTCCCTCTTAAATCAATAAGGGCTCTGTTTTAGGTATCCAATCAAGTTTTGTTTTGCTAGGTAAAGATATGGTGATTCAGATAAAAGTAGAACAGCAATGCTCTAGTTTCTAGCCTAAATATGTCAACTAGAACAAACCTTGTTTTTGTAATGCTATCACTATGCTACCCACATCATTGAAACTGAGATTTTCGCAAGGGGGGTCCTAAAACAATGTTATTTGAGGTAAAAGGTGATTTGCTTTGAATTATGAGGATTTCGGAAAAAAAACGAAAAAACAGTGTCTCTAAAAGTGGAACATAATTCAACATGAACAGCCTGTTGGAAGCCAAACATACTAAGACATAAGATCACCACATATCATTACAGCCCTGTAAAATGCTGAAGCTTTGACGAAACCGCTGTAGCATCTTTCTTTCTGCTCCTTAGCCACCTGCACCTGCTAGTTAGTCTACCATGCAGTTTAACTTATAGGCCGCCATCTTGTTTGGTGTTCATTCTAAATAAAGATAACACCTGCAAACAACAAATCCTGGAAATACCATTACAATGTTAACCTGGCAGCACATCACCACTGACAATGAAGGTCACATGTGTAAATGGGACAGTAATGGTTTAAATGTATTATTGATTTTTAATGTGATTGACTTTGAAAGACTGGTCATGTTGAATGGATGTTTTAGAGCTGACAATAATGTCAGTGTCTGATGGATGTTTATCTATTAAGTATGTGCTCGCTGAACTATTACTGCATTGATAACCCACACCCATAGTTACCTACTGTCTGTGCACTGCAAAAGCACTCCTGATGTTTTACAAGACACTGCTTAAAGTGACCCTACTGCACTTTACTGCAGATGCACCTCTGGCCCAGCACAATAAACAGTGCATGGCAGGGCCTATAGTCTGTCACAGCTTTCCATTTACAAGAGCATCTATTCTGCTGACATATCCTTTTGTGGACATACAATCCCAATCCATAGCAATTCGAAACACAGATCAGTGTGCAGCCACTATCAGTCAAAGACTCCAAACAACTGCATTTTATGAACCCGTCATAGTCTGTGTCCTTTCTGTTTCCAGGCAGACCCAGCAGCACATTTTGCTGATGTAATGAAACCCATAAACTCCACAAACGACTACTCACACAGCTTTTAAACTAGTCCTATCAACAAAACAATCCTCTTTTGTAAATCCTAGTGTACCGACACATGGACTAAATAAAAATGCAAAAAACACTTGCGTATGTCAGGAGCTGATGAAGGTCAATGTCAGATCTAACTCTGCATAACAATACAAACACATGCTCATATTGGCTCAAGTTTAAAGGAAAATAAAGGTGAGAGACAAGAGGCACTGTGCACATGAGCTGTGGCATCCCATAGCAAGTAAAGAGAGGTGGTGTAAAGTGAAAGCCAGACATTACCAAGCAGCAGAGAGAAGATCAGGCCGACAGCTGTGTGTTGAGGGCCCATCCTCGGGACTTCAACCCCGGCCCACTGGACCTCCATGGCAGCAAGATCAGCTCCAAAAGAATTGCTGCAGCAGAATCCAGCGGGCTCCAGAGAACTTGTAAAATATCCTTTACAGCAACTTATCCTCTCTGGTATACTGGACTTAAATCTGGAAGCTGCTGTCTGGGTGTCTTCAGCCCAAACAAGTCCAAGCTGTGTCCCTGCAGCAGCTGGGGGTGAGGAGCCTGCCCGCCAGCCCCCACTACACTCCTGTGAAAGAGACTGTAGGTTAGACAGAGGGCAAAGAAGAGGAAAGGGACAGAGAGAGAGAGCAGGGAGGAAAGAAAAAGTTCATCAACTGACATGTTAAAATAGGATATAAAGTCCCTATAAAAGCACATTCGGGACAAGTAAAGGTATAGGTTTGTGTGTGTTTCCTGCATGCTAGAAACTACTCTTTACCCCATGTAAGATGGGTAAACTCAAGGAAAAAACACATGCACAGATTACGTTTTGTCATGTTACCTGCTCCTGCAGCCGGTGCTCTCTCAGAGGCCGGCAGGCTGCACAGCTGAGTCAGTGTGGATAGGACAGCGGCGGAGTTACACACACTGCGCACAGTCAGGGTTCAGTCAAGGAGAATCCACGCCAGCCCCAGCAGTTTCACTGCAGAGGCCAGCCACCATTGCAGCGGCAGCCAGGACGGAGGACAATTTAGAGACGGAGAGGGGTGGAGAAGAACACAAACGTAGGGAGACGACGGACAGGAGGAAAAGCCGCTGCTCTCATTTCCCCTCAGCAGAGCATCATGACGCCGCTCCTCTCCCTGCCCAGTCCCCCCCGGCTCCCTCACAAACTTTCCATCCTCTCTTTGGCTGCATGCCACCTCTTCTTCCCCCACCCAATCTCTCAGTTCCCATCTTCACCTGCCGCCCCCCCCCCCGACCATCTTATCTCGAAGGAGAGAGAAGAATAAAGAAGAAGAAGAAGAAGACAATCTCACAAGAAATAAAAAAAATACCAATCAATAACGAATCCTACTCATAATCCTAATAATACTCCTCATCCTCGTCATTCCCTCCTTCTCCTCCTCCTCCTCTCTCTGCTCCCCTCCCTGCCTCCACCCTCCTCCCCATCTCCTGACTCGGGGCGGGAATGCAGACTCAGGCACTTTTGTCAGAGTGTTTGTGATAATCAGAGAAAAGTTCTGCAGTGCAGGTTGAGCAGGAGGAGGAGTGATGCAGCCACAGGGCCGGGGCCAGACACACAGTCCCACACCAAAACTCTCCATTCATAAATAGGCATGTTCTCTCTCTGATAACATCACCTTCGAGGAACAAACTTACAGAATTACAAGTAGCAGGATAAACCATGCAGTTGCTACTCTCTATTCCAATGGGATGAACCTCTGAAAGCTGTTACCCTTTTTTTTGGTCTTCTATATTAATGATAGTGGGAGACGTTTTCTTATGATTGCACTTTCCTCTCCTCCCCCTTCCCCTGAAAGGCATGCCCCTGCTGGGACTCATATTCTCCTGGCTCAGGATGATCAACGTCCCCTGGTGATGTGTGCATATGTGTCCCATTCAATGCCTCGAAGGTCAAACTGTCCTGTACATCATGAGGCTTTCATTACTCTAGTGTGATCAGTGTGATGCAGCAGCAAATACATTATGATACGAGGCTGTGTGTGGACTCATTTCACAATGGGACAGCTCCTTTCCCATAAATGTAACCACGCATCGTCATCGACAGCTGACCAATAGCGTCTGTCTGCACTATTCACTGCAGGACATGGCGCAGGAAGTGCTTAGCTCAGAGATGTGATGAGTTGAGGTTAGACCTGGCTAACGTTGCATTCCTACACTTAAGTTCATATGCCTGTCTAACTCCATCTATTACTGGAAATAGAAGGTGACTACACAGTAATGGTGTCTTATGAGTTCAGTAGAAGAAAAAAGGTTGGTGAGTGAGTGACTGGTTAATCAGAGTTTCATATTGGGAACAATTGAGAATTGTGAGTGTTAACTGGATGCAACTGAGACCATGTGACTTGCCATCTGAGCAGAGGTACAGTTACACAGGGAGAGGACAAGGGGACAACTACACATCCATTTTGGACTTAACCTCCTGATGTATTTTTCTCAGCTTACAGAAATACTTTTTCCTTAACATGAGAAGAAAAGGTAACGTTTGCAACTCGTAAGAGGATGCAAATGGAATTTAATGTGCTAGATTTAACTTCAGTTTCAAAGATAGATGCAGGTATTGGTCACACAGTATACGTATATACTGTACAATACTTTGAAAATACTTACACTGCAATCTGTTTTTCATTGAGAAAGTCATAATGCAAATATGCAGATGTTTAAGAATGGCATCTTGTTTCTTTGCTCATGCAACATTTGAAATACCTATTATTTGTTTAGATTTTGTGAAACACATCGAATTCAGATGTCAGCTGTTATACTATTGCATTCAATATCATAAGCAAGTTGTAGTGGATTGTGAGGGGAAAAGAGGGTATTGACACAACTCACTAAGCAAAACTAGAAGAAATTAAATTAAATCTAATGTGTGTAATTGGCTGATGAGTGCACAAAGTAAATCTGTGTTTAATGAAACAGTAATAGATGTTATCGAGGCTGGAACCTGCAGGGCCTGAACACAATTAATAAGCTGTAAATTACAAACACCAATAATAACTTATATGGTTCATATTAAGCATATATAGAAGTAGGTGTGGTGCTGGGTGACAGTAAAGATAGAGTGGGGAGTGGTTTGACGGATGTGAAACTCTAAAGTGAGAGATCATGTGACCGGGCTGCAGGCTCACCGCTCTCCTCTGCAGGCCCCTCCACTGGAGTTTTAATGCAGCAGCGGTGGGAACTCTTCCAGAACTGCAAAGGAAAAAAGAAAAAGCATTTTGCTGCAGAAAGACAGGGTGCTGCTGCAGACCTGTGCAGGACAACACAGAGTGCTCATGTACAGTCACACAAACATAACCACTTGGTATGTAGTAAACATATATGAATTATCATGTGTCCTATATTATTAATAGATGCCATGTAGGTGCAACCTCAGCATTTAAATGCACGTAGGTGTCACTTGCTCTTACTGCAGCAAAATGTGTGCTGCTCCAAAGGAAAGAGACAAGGACACACGTGTCAGCGCTCTGTGCGTTGGAGTGTTAGAGCAAAACAGAATGAAAACATAAATTCAGTGGTGGAAATAGTATTCACATGTTTTACTTCACTACATTAAAAAGTGTCTGCTACTTGTAGGCTGCTATAATTGTATTGCATAATTTAACAGTAACTGCAGTAGGCTACACTGTAAAAAAAGAAATAAGAAGCTGTTAAAAATAATCTGCCAGCTGTGGTAATATTGGATTTTACAGTTAGGGGTCGAGTTTGACTATAATGGGTATAAATAAAATGTAAAAATTGTTCTTACCACATTTACCATAGACTACAATAACCATAAATAGTTGTTTTGAACCTGTTATCTGGCACCAATTAGTTCTTCAAAGGTGTTTCAGAGATTGCCCATGTGTTTAGAATCTGTTAATAATGAAAGCATATTTGCCTGGGGGGAAACCAACATTAAAATCCAGTATTACCCATACAGTCTATGGTATTACCACAAACTGTGACCTGCTTGTGCCCAGAAACGGCAAAACAAACCTCTCCCCAAATGTTATATTATGTGTTGTACCACTTCAAGGCTTCATCCAAAACATAACTTCAAACAAACAAACAAACAAACAAACAAACAAACCGTCACCCATAGCGTCATCTTCAAAAGGCAAAGAAAAAGTTCCAAAATCCTAGCAAGTTCGTAAGTAGCTAAATGTTTAGTCGCTAAACTGAACTAGCCCCAGTTTGTGAATCAGCCTACATTAGGGGTGACAGTTAGCAGCATGTTGTTTTCTCTAAAGGAAAACAAAACATTTGATACATGAGAGGCTTCATTTGGTGCTACTCTAGGGCAAGTAGGTAATCCTACTGGTAGGCCTACTAATAGAGCTAAAAGGAGAGTTAATATTGGACTTACCTTTATCAGATAGCTATAAACACTAATGCTAATGCTGCTAAATAAGCAACGTGTGCCAAGAAGCTTGAAATATTAACTCAGAATTTGAAGAGCTGTTAGTGTTTTGTTCCCATCTTCTTTATGCTGTCCTCAAGATAATTACATTTGAGCAGTTAAGAGGAATTACTCTTTGGTGGAACTGCTAACACAGGCATTGCACTTTTAAGTGAAACGGAGGCTATTCAGAAGAATTAATACTGAAGTATAGCCTAATACAAGTAGCATACATTGTACTCAAGGATGGCACTTGAGCAGATGTGCTGTTACATTCTACCTCTAGGCTACACAAATTACAAAAAACACCCAGAATGATAAATAGCAGAATATATGTATTTCCTTTCTGTGCATAGGCCTATGCCTACTATAGCTACAGTATAAAGGCACACACAGCTTGATAAACCCAAACCCATTTTTGTTATTCAGTAGTTGTTAGAGTACTATAAAGAAAAAAGTGAGTAAACTACTGCTTCTTTTAATTTGTTAGCACGGCATCTCATACAAAGTATTATGTACAATGCAGACTGAACTAAATAATCCGTGAGGAGAACTTTCTAACATGACTTGAATAACTATATTGACTGCACTGTTTTTTTGTTTTTAGTAGGACGGATATGAAAGCATGGATTGTGTCCAAATTAAACAAATAATACTAAGTAAAACACCCCTTATATTAAGGACAATGAAAAGGGAAGGTTATGTTACCACCAGGGGGCGAGTGTTTTACATGCCCCTACTGTTGTTTTTATGACTCAGTGCTCAAATCCCTGCACTGGAAAAACACGCTCATGTTCCAGTGAGTTATAATGCAAGTGTCAAAACATCAATGCCTGGTATTTATATATTTGTTCAGTAGGTGTTAAAAGATCCCTCAACCTTTTAAATAGTGAGAATAATTCGGCCTGTATAGAAAACAAAGTAATTCCAAGTCACAGGCAGCTCCATGTTTGCACTGCAAGATCCAAAGGTGAATAAACTGCGATTCACTCAGCTGTTTAAAAGCCAGGAAGTGTGAGTGTTATTACTCATTCTCCTGTGTGACACACGTACAGTACAGGAGTGGCTGATGGAATTTCACACTCACTCACCCAATCTGTAAGCCTACAGACCCGGTCTCTTCTCTTCCTCTTCTCTTTCTCACTCACTCACTCACTCACTCACTCACTCACTCACTCACTCACTCACTCACTCACTCACTCACTCACTCACTCACTCACTCACTCACTCACTCACTCACTCACTCACTCACTCACTCACTCACTCACTCACTCACACACATCACACACACACACACACACACACACACACACACACACACACACACACACACACACACACACACACACACACACACCACACACACACACACACACACACACACACACACACACACACACACACACACACACACACACACACACACACACACACACACACACACACACAGAGACACACACACACACACACACACACACTTTAAAAAGTAAATAATTAAAATACACTTCATACTGCTCAATAATCTTAAAAACATTTCTTTATTCCATAGGTTGAAAATAGATAGACATGACAACAGTTCTAGGGTCAATATTTAAAAAAAGTGTAAAGTTCTGCTTA